AACTTAGGACCTTGCACTTGCCAGGCAAGCAATCAAGGGGATTTTGATGTTTTTTTCCCCCATATTTATTCTGTTGTGACACAACTCATTTTCTTAAAAATTTTTGTTTTATGTTGATTTGATCATTTTCCATGTGGGAGTTTTTAGAAGGAATAATCTGAGCTCCACCAAATTAACAAGCAACCAAATATGTGGTACCAAGGATCGAACTCAGGACCTTGTGCATACCAGTCCAGGCGCTTATGCCACTGAGCTGTCTCCCCAGCCCCAAACATATTTTTTTTTTAACAAACTACTTTTATAAGCTTTCCTAGACATACCTAAGCTTTTCAGTCTTACTATTGTCTCTTTTTTTCTGCAGGACAAAACTTTCATTATGTAAAATCCTCCCATATCAAAAGTGTATCTAGGGCTGGGAAGATAGCTCAGTGGAATGAGTGCTTGCCTGGCAAGCATGAGATCCTGAGTTCAATCCCTGGTACTGTCAAAAAAAAAATGCATCTTTCCAGGGATATAGCTCAGTGGCATAAGTGCCTGCCTGACAAACACAAGGTAACGAGTTCAATTCCTGAAACGGTATAGCACTTTAATACTTTTTTCTCATTATTATAAATCTTTCACCACAAAGTTGATTGCAATTGCTTGGATTTTTGTTGGTTTTGCTGTTGCTTTGTTTTGAGACAGGGTCTCGCTGTGTAGCCCAGACTGCTTACAAACTCACAGCAATCCTCCTGCCTCAGCCTCCTTTTTTTTTTTTTTTTTTTTTGCATTTTAGGGAAGGGTCTCCAGGGTGTTCAGGATCTCACTACTAGATTGGACTCACAGTGATCTGCTTGTTTATAGCCTCCCAAGAGCTGGGATTACAGGCATGCGCCACCACGCCCAGTCTCAATTGCCATCTCAGCATGCCTTGGGGGTGGGGCCAACATTGCAGGCCTGGGGATCGAACCCCCAGCCCCTGTGCCTGCTTGCAGGTTCTTTAATCCACTGAGCTATTTGGCTGGCCCTTCAGCCTCCTAAGTGTTGAGATTATAAGCATGTACCACCACACCCAGATGTTTGAATTTTTTTGAGACAGAGTCTCTCTATGTAGTTCAGGTTAGCCTTGTTCTTACTCTGTAGTCCAGGATAGCCTTGAACTTGCAGAGATTTTCCTGCCTCAGCCTGAGTTTTTGGATTACCATATGCTACCTTGCCTATTTTTTTTCCTTCTTTCTCTTTTTCTTTCCTCTTTTTTCTTTTTGTACCAGGAATCAAACTCAGGTCCTTGTACTTGTCAGGCAGGTGTTGTGCCACTGAGCTATCTCCCTCACCCTCTTTGGATTTTTAAAGTGTCCCCTCACTTTTTTTCCCCCTCACATCATAACTTTGTTAATTTGACTGACTGCAAACAGACCTATAGGTAATCTTGAATCAGTGTTATCTTAAGTCAACAGAGATCAGAGAGAAAAGCAAGTTAATCCTGTAAATTCAAGAATTTGTAATGCATAAGAAATGTTTTAAACTGCCTCAAATTGGAAACCAAAGGTACATTTACCATAGGTAAAATTTGTAATTTGTTTTCTCCTGTAAAACCTCTTTAGGGGGCTGGTGAGATGGCTCAGTGGTCTAAAGCACCTACTTAGAACAAGCTTAGCAAAGCACAGGGACCGCGGTTCAATCCCCCAGCACCACATGCCAGCCAGCCCTGCCCCCTGGTGGGCTGAGTTGGCTACACACACACACACACACACACACACACACACACACACACACACACACACACACACAAATAAATAAATAAATAAAAATAAAAAATAAAAAACAAAACCTCTTTAGGCCTGATACGACTCTGGCCATTTGGCACCAGGCTGAAGTTGCTCTGACTTTTAGATACCTGCAGCTTCCCTGTCTATATATCCTAGTGCACTAAAGCTAAGCAGCCTTGCCCCTTAGAGTGCAAATCGTTCTATTACTTTTGTTTTCAGACTGATTGGACCACTTTCCTCCCCCAGTCCCCAGCAACCTCGAATTCACTCATTTCATTTTTTCCACATACAGATATATAATCTATATCTATATATCTATATATAGATATAGATATATTTTAGCACCCTTCAGACTCACACATTTCACTTCTTATTTGCCAGTGGTTTTCATCAGGTATCAGATTCTCTTGCTCCTCCTGCTGTAGCCTGCTCCCACAGTTCCAACACTGTGCGCTTTTCTTGCTATGGTTTTCTATATGGGGGCTAAATTTCATTGGACTCCTTGAAAATCTGGCTATTTAATACACCTCTTTATGAGCCACCCTCATTGTGGGCCTGTCTCACAAGTTGTTTGAGTGTCACTTATGACCTCCTCTCATTGCGAGCCTGTCCTGTGAGTTGTTAGAGAGCAACTTTCCCTGTGGGCCTCCCTCATACTCCATTTAAAGTTGTAGGTTTCATTTGACCCAATCCATGATTACTAGGTACATCCCCACCTCCTGGGAGGTGATCAGGCTCGCCTTCTATACTAATGGAATGGGTTTGCAACGCCCTTTGCCTGTAGCATGCTGTGGCTCCAGAATCATTCTAAATCCCCTCAGGTGCCATTTGCACTGACAGGACAGAGGTCTCTGCCCTGATACCTTCTCTGAGCTGAGGTGTCAGCTGGTTGTACCAGAGGTCTCAGGACTCCCAAAGCTCTGGTGCTCTTAGGCCTGTAGGTGAAGGAGATGGCAAATCTGTCATCTCAGGTCCATTTATGGTTGCCAAAAATATGGCAGAATCTGACAGATCAGAGGCCAATGAAGAAAAAGGAAAAATTATTTACAGGACTTTAGATGCCCTTTGATCCAGCTGAACTTGCATCCAAAGTGCTGGGTATTAGAACAAAGGAGGGCTGGGGGTGTAGCTCTGTGGCATAAGGCTCTACCTGATAAGCACAAGGTCCAGAGTTCAACACCTGGTATCACCAGAAAAAAAAAAAAAGAACAAAGCAAAAGTTTTAGTTGTATATATTTGGTTGAGGGTGTGGTCTTTGGTCCAGAACTTGTAGGTAGTCTAGCAAGTTTGCAGGAACAGCACAAGGCAAATTTTACAATGTCACAGAACTCTGCTTACACTGTTTATAGGAACACAACTTTAAAAAAAAGGGACACAACTTTTACCCCTATCTATGTTCTTGGCAGGTCAGGGACATCATAAAGCCTGTTTACAGGCACATAGTTGCAATTCTTATAGCAGAAAAAATAATTATAGTCATAGAGGAGGGGGCCATTCCAGCTGGGAAAGCTTGCTTTCTTTTAGGTCTGGCCTCACATGTCCTCTTGTTGCTTTATTTTTAAGTCTTCTGGGCCATTGTCTGAATGCCAGTGTGAAGGAAGAGGCCTCGCTCATGAGTACGCACGGGGGACGTCATACTGTGGCCTCCGTGATGAGGTCCTTGATATAACTGGGCTGGCGGGAAGACTTTACTGGGGATCCGTCTCCTTGAGGAGGACACAGAACACAGGAAGTATCACCCCTCCCTTTAGCCTGTCACTCGTTCTTGGCAGCCGTCTTCAGTGGAGAGCAGGTGGGAAGGCCAGAAGTAATGTGTTGGGAGGAAGAACATGGAGGGTTGGAAGAGGGACAAAGCCACCTCAATAAAGGAAAAGGAACTATGACAAGGGGCTATCTGTTACCCCAGGTCCTCCTTTTTCCCTGTGCCAGCTGTCAAAGCCAACCTACTATCTGTGAGGAACATCATCGTCAGGCTAGAGATGAGGACTCAGTACTGGAAACAGGGCCTAAGGAGATAGTTCAGTAGAATAAGCACTTGCCTGGCAAGTGCAGGGTCCTGAGTTCAATCCCCGGTACCACCAAAAAAAAAAAAAAAAAAAAAAAATTGGACTCAATACTAGAAACAGCCTCTGGTAACTCCCTGTATACTTTAATTGTTTCCGATGGGCCAGAGTTCAGGCAGCAATCTCTGTGTTATGAACAGGACATAATACACCAGGACATGTCACTATTCCTGAAACTCTTTCAGAAAGTGTGGCTGTTCACCTCAAGACCACAAGCGCTCTACCTCCCTCCATACACCTGGCCAGTCTGGCTTGTTTGACAAGCCACTTCCAAAGGGTGGCTGGATCCCTACAGGAGCCACAAGCTGTAACCTCTGATGTTCTGCGTGATTGGTCAGAGCATGCCTTAGTTATTTTTCTCTCATTGCTGAGATAAAGTACGTAACACCCAAAATTAAGGGGGAAAAGGATTATTTATCTCACAGTTTGGAGAGGCTTCTGTCTATATCAGCTGGATCCAAGGCAGAGTGGCACATGGCATAAATGAAATAGTTCATGCTGGCTAATGACAGCAAAAACAACCAGAGCAGAAGGACAAAACAAGCTCCTTCTGGCCCTTTTATCCAGACTGCTGAGATTAGAGCAGTGCCAATCCAGTCGGTGGACTGATCTGGCAATCACCCAGCCTGAATCCCAACAACCCTAGCATTGTACTACAAAACAATCTCAAACTCTCAACTCAGCTGCCTCCAAAAAAGGCCCACCTAAAATAAAACTGCATGAAGCTCTGGAAGAACATCAAGACCCAAACCATAACAGTGTATATTCTCTGTCTAATCTTGGCCCCCAGCCCCAGGCCCCAACCCTCTCTCTCCTTCATGGCCCAGGTTCTAACAGATAGCCAGATTCTGGGCCAAGCTTCTACATTCCTTCCTATGTTGAAGGACTTCAGGAAGGAAGGAGGAGAGAGAGGTTAAGAGTGAGCATCTGAAAAAAAAAAAAAAAAAAAAGAGTGAGCATCTGATGGCTGTATCTCCCAGACAGCCCCTGGGCCATGCAAGGTCCCGCTGCCAGACCTGTGCAGTAGTGGGGAACCCAAGGTCCCTGTGGGACTCTGGCTGTGGCTTCAGGATTAACCAACAAGACATGGTGTTCAGGTGAGTACAGTGTAGGAGGTGGCTACTGTACCAGGAAGGCCAGGCCAAATTCTCCTGGTCTTCCAAATGACTACTCTGGCGTCCTTTCCCAGATGAAGCAGGCCCCTGTCCAAGGCTCTGAGGCAGATGTGGGGAACACCATCACATGAGCACCACAGACCGAGGTTTCCAGCAGCCTTCAGGATCCTGGTACTCAGCTGCCTGCCCTCCACTGATGCATCTGGCTTTACTGAGACATGCAAGTACTTCATGAAAACTACTTCTTTGGCCCAAGAAACCCAGGGTATGTCAGTGAGGGGGCCGTTGTTGGGCACGACAGTGGGAACTCTATAAAGAGATCTTTGCTAAATATCGGGGCACCCCAAGATTTACCTAGGCTTGGGGGCTTCGGTGTCCTAATGGTTGACACGTTGGGTCAACTTGAGAAGTTCACAAGTCTAAGTGACTCAGCAGGGCGTCAGGGGCCTCACTTTTTTTTTTTTTTTGTGGAACTGGGGATTGAACTCAGGCCCTTGCGCTTGCCAAGGAAGCGCTTACTCTACTGAGCCATCTCCCTGGCCCCAGGGGCCTCACTTTGTAAACATTCTGAGCCTGCACAAGAGGAGAGCACAGGGATGGTGTGAGTGCTGCCCCTACTTGAGGGCTGGTATCCTGCACACAGGACAGGGGAGGAGAAGTCTTTGTAGGTTTCAGTTAGCCCAGTTCACTGGTGGAACCAAAGCGAATAACCATCAGGTGAAGGATCCACGAAGGGGAAGGGAAAGGAGGAGGAAAAGGTGACTGATCTCTGTCTTCCTCAGGTGTATCCAGGAAAACTGGCTGGAAAACAAGGGTCCTAGGGCAGGGGAGATAGTTCAGTGGGACACATATCTATCTGGCAAGTGCAAGGGCCTGAGTTCAATCCCTGGTTCTTCCAAAAAAAAAAAAAAAAAAAAAAAAGAAAAGAAAGAGGCTAAATGAACTGGCCTTTCATCTCTTGCCCAGGCTCCCAGGCTGGGCTTCTTGGTGTTTCCCAATCACACCAGCTGCCTCTAGCTTCTTCTATTTTTTTTTAACTTAAAAAACTTTATTGGTACTTTTCTTCTTGGTGCTGGGGATTGAACTCTGGATCTTACGCTTGCCAAGCCGACACTCACACCACTGAGCTATCTCTTTGGCTGTTTTTTTGTTTGTTTGTTTGTTTGTTTGAGTTCAGACTGGCCTTGAACTCACTATGTAGCCTAGGCCAGCCTTGAACTAGTAGAAATACTCTTGCCTCAGCCTCCTGAGTGCTGGGATTACAGATGTACACCACCCTGCCCAGATCATTTCTTTTCATATGTGTGGACTATCTCCCTGGCCCAGGGCCGGCCTGATAGCTCAGCAGACTAAAGCGCCTCTTTAGGCAGTGGCTGGGGTTCAGTCCTCAGTATACCCTGCAAGCCCTATTCCTGGGGGTGCACTGAGACGGTTATTGAACCTGGGCATGGTGGCACACGCCTGTAATCCAGCACTTGGGAGGCTGAAAACAGGAGAATCACTATGAGTCCAATCTACGTAGTGAGACCCTGTAGACCCTGTCCTAAATACAGAAACAAAAACTGTGTGTTTCTCTCCCTGGATTCCTGGTGGCATTAAAGGGCTGCACTCTATCACTGAGTCTTTACAGCAAATGTATCACCAGCTTACACATACGATAATCTTACCAAAACACAGGTGAAGGGAAAGTGGTGTAAAGTTTAAAACATATCAAATGAACCTGCCTGGCAAACGCGAAGTCCTGAGTTCTATCCCCTATACGGGGGGAAACCCCCCTCCCAAAACAAAAAAAACCCCTCAAAATCAAGTTCCTTTGCAGCTCTGTACCTGACTGGGCTCCTTAGTATCTCCCTGGCCCAGTATATTGTTTAATGTAGTGCTGTTCTTATTGAAACTGTATATTATTAATAGTGATAGATTCCAGCCCCAGTACAAGCTGCTAAATTATCATGGCCTTGATTCAACATGGCTGAATCCCCAAAACAACAGCTCATCTTCCCAATGACCACTTTCTCCTTCTTCCACACCCCAGTCATGGCTACCTTTCCTGAGCACACAAGGGAGCACCAATCAACTCCTTACATGTCACTGAATCTGCCCCTCAAACTGCCCCTAGCAAAAATCTATAAAATGTCAGCCTTCCTGTCTGTCTCAGGTCAGAGGATACCTGGCATCTCCCTCGGATCCTCTCCATCTCTTCAGAGTCAATAAAGGTCCTCCCCTCCTTTTTCCTTTTACTACTGCTTCTCTGCTACACTTAAAAAAAATCTAACATAGTATTTAGGAACCAAATAAAAACTGGGCAGGTAAAGACTCTGTGACATTAAATTCACTGATTTTGGTGCTAGAAATCGAAAGAGGGCCTTGTGCCATATTCCCGGTTTTAAATTTTTTATTGTGGTAAAATAAACTTGAGATTTACAATTATTATATTCATGATAATAATTTTAAAATGTACAATTCAGTGACATTAAGCACATTCACAATGTTGTCCAACCATTACCACCTTGAACTATTTTCAAAATATATTTTCTTCCCCTAACAAATATATTTTGTACCTATGAATGGCCATAATCCCCAGTAGCAATGATCAACCCTGGAATATAGATTTTGTTTTCTGAGTTCTTTTTTCCCCTAGAAGTTCTTTGCTTTTTTCTTTTTCTTTCTTTCTTTTTTGCGGTACTGGGGATTGAACTCAGGACCTTATGTTTGCCAGGCGAGCACTTATTCTACTGAACTATCTCCCTGGCCCCCACCAGAAGTTCTTGGTCTAGACAAGAAAAGTATAAGGGAAAGCTAGACATCAAATTTGTGTCAGTTTTTTTAAATCAAATACTGCAAGACTGATTTAATCAGTATAAAATTGAAAGAGCTTTAGATTTGTAATAAAAATCAGATTTGGGTCAATTTGAGCATCAAAAAGAACAACTGCTACATCCTTGAGTCCATAATGACAGAGAAAGCAAAGCAATTTATTGGTGGTGCATGTAATTAAAGGTGTGTGTTTGGGCAGGGGTGTGTGTGTGTGTGTGTGTGTGTGTGTGTGTGTGTGTGTTTTGCAGTACCAGGGATTGAACTCAGGCCCCTGCACTTGCCAGGCAAGCGCTTATTCTACTGAGCCTTCTCCCCAGCCCTGGGTGTGTGGTTTTTTTAGCCATGTGCATGCAACTGCTTCATTTTATTTTATTTTTGGCGGAACCGGGGATTGCACTCAGATCCTTGCGTTTGCCGGTCAAGTGCTTATCCTACTGAGCCATCTCCCCGGCCTCTACTGCTTCATTTTAAATAAACAAGAAAATCCACCACAGAAAATAGTTGAGATGGGTGGAATTTTTAACTACATTACAGTATTTGCTCATAGATTCGTTCCTCAAGAAAGGCCGAAAGGCTTTTCCTTCCCACTCTTCTCCCTGCTGACCCTGGCTGGGAATAAATGGTGCTCTCCTCAGGGAGCTGCACTATGCCCGAGGCCCGGCTGCTTGCGCTCTGTCACTCTGGCCATCGACTTTGCACTTGACTGCTAAGCCCTCTCAGCAACTGGGCCCCGGCTGGGCACCAAGGCAAAAGCTGTCTTAAAACAAAGCCTAAGTGCAGGTGCTCACAGCTAACCTGGTAATGAGGTCCTAACTAGGCTGCAGGTTAGTCAGGGTGCAGGACTATGCGGCCAATAAGCCTCAGCCTCTTGGATCTGACCAGAGGGCTGGAGATGGGGGAAAAGTGTAGATATCTTGACAGGAAACCATTTTGGGCAATACAGGGGTTAAAAAAAGCCTTCTCTGATCCCCCTCTTCAGTAAGAAAAGACCAAATTTTGCTAGATATTTCTAGGAAAATGAATGCACCTTGAGTCTACCACTCAAGTGAAACAAACCCCACACACGTAAATACGCCATTACTTCTCTGGTGTGAGAAACTGAAAAGTGTAAATAAGGACCAAAATGTGTAACAGGAGGGCTGGCAAGATAGTTCAGCAGACTAAGTGCCTGCTTACGCAAGCACAAGACTGGGGTTTAGTCCCCGCACCACAGGCCCCGCCGGCCCCGCCCCATCAAGACTGGGCATAGAGGTGCACTCCTGTAATCCCAGTGCTGGGGAGGCGGAAAACAGGAGGATCACTGCGAGTCAGAGCTGCGTAGTGAGACCCTGCGCCGAATACAAAATGTGTAATAGGTATGGTGAAACAGGAAGAAAATGTTCAAATGGGGAGGAGAACAAGGAAGAGGGAGGGAGGGAGGAAAGGAAAAAGTAAAAACAAAAATGAAAAAAGGAAAACATAGAAACAGCTTTTGTTATTGGGAGGGGAGGAGGGGCTGAAAGGGGGTAGGGGAATGGGGGAAAAAGCAAGGTATATCATGTACAGGTACAAATTCTCTGTGATAAATGTGATCATTATGTGTATCTAAAATGTAACAATAAAGTCTGATTTTTAAAAAGGGTCAAGGGGCCCGGGGAGATGGCTCAGTAGAATATGCACTTCCCTGGCAAGCACAAGGGCCTGAGTTCTATCCCCAGTTCCACCAAAAATAAATAAATAAATAAATAAATAAATAAATAAATAAAATAAAAGGGTCAAATTTGAATTTTTTTTAAAAACTGTTTTTGGTACAGGGTCTCACTATGCGCAGCTCAGACTCCTAGTGATCCTCCTGTTTTCAGCCTCCCCAGAGCTGGGATTATAGGCATGTACCACCACACTCGGTCTCAGTGGTTGGCTCAGCAAGCCTGGGGGGCGGGGCCAGCACAGCAAGTGGAGCCAGGGATCGAACCCGTTTCCTTCACTTGCCTAAGCAGGCCCTTAGTCTGCTGAGCTATCTTGCTGGCTCTTGAATAATAATTTTTTTCCTTCTAGATAAATGGCTACACCCTTCCTAGGATGTAAAGCACACCTACTTACTCTCAGATGGACACATCCCATAGCCTTGCAGACATGTGTCTTCTCAGTCCTGGCCCATATCTTACCTTCAAGCCTCTCTGCCTAAGCCAAAATTCAGGCCCTAGAAAGGCAGCTGAAGTGCAGGTGGCATTAGTAGCCAAAGCCTAAGAAAGAAAGGAGGCCTCTTCTGTGACTGTGTGACTGGACTCCTGGGTGAGACGAGCGGGTGTGAGCCTGGTCCAAGGAGGCCTCACCTCTC